AAGAAAAGAGGGGGCGGGGGATCCGGGGGATCCTTTCCAAGACAGGCAGCAGGTGTTGCGGTGCACCATTGACAATTCTGCACCCGCAAGAGTTAACTGCCGCCTCCTGGTTAAGTTTGCATGTCAATAGAGAGCAGCAGCTGCTGCTGCTGCTTCTCTCCGGCTCAGGCTGACCTGCGGGAGCTCTTGATTGGCTGCCAATGACATCACTCCCTCCGCTGGTTAGCACACTGGGGACTCGAACCGAGGCTGACCAGATCACCCCCGAACGCGGCCCAGAGGGCAGCCCCTGGCCCCGCCCCCTCAGCCGCTCGCCTCCAATCATGGGCATGATGCAGCGCCTCTGCGCTGAGGCAGGAACCGGCCCTTCTGACCATTGGCCCTTCTGGCATTTGCCAGAATTGCCAGATGGCCAGTCCAGCCCTGGTTTGTGTTCATATAAGCCAAAGCAAGACTCTGTATCTGCATACCAAATAAGACTATAAAGTGCTGCATAATGTACTATGCAACATTATGTTTTTAGTTGTGCAGATAGAGCTAAAGGAGGCACATACATCTACATGTCATGATTTCTCAGGATATTTTTTTTATTTCATACTGTAAGCTGCTGTGGATGAAGATATCTCAGTTTAAGAAGACCAAGTAAGAATGATGCCATTTCCCCAACCACACATCCCCTTGGGTAATCATATAATATGTCATTGAACCGAAAAGACTGAGTAAACAGTAATTAATTTCATCTGAACCAGAAATAACAAAAATATTTATCCACTTTGAAGCAATCCAGGCTATTAAACCAATGCCAAAACTTGGTTTAATATCCTGGCCTCTTCTGAAGTTGGCAATCTTAGTTTCCAAGCTTAAACAAAATGGGAGGCTGAGGTCAACAGAATAATACCTGGCTTGTTTGCTCACAGTGTTCCTGTGAGCTGCTGCTGGGATAGTTATAGGCAGTGTGATCGTGGTAGAGTGGTATGGCTTGAAGATGGTGGTCATGTCTGGCATGAATGGGTCTGAGGCCAACATTAGGAAGCTCCTTTGTCTTGTGTTATCATCCTTTGAGTCAGTTACATTTTAGAGTGATAAAGCTCCAGTTTTGCTTTCTTGCCAGCTCTGGGGTGCTTAAGCTGTTTCTTGTGCTACAATGAGCTGATGTGTCATGCAGTCTCCTATAGGCCTTGGCTATGCAGAAACATTCATAAGGTTAAACAATGACTGGAAGCAATTTTTTTTCTGACAGAAAATAGGACAAACCATCCTTCTATGTATCCTGATGTAAACTGAGGATGACTCAAGTGTTTAGTGCTATGTATGATTTATACGTGACTTTATTTATAGAAACTCTGCCCTTGTTAATGTTGAATATCCTCTTCCCTGACACCAAAATCTTTAATATTTCACAGGACATCTGCTTGTCCTCCATTTGAAAATCTACAGTGATGCTTTAGTGGAATGAAAGACTTCATCTTCATGTAAATGAGCAGAAGGCAGGACCACTTTGTTGATGTGATGCAGCCCAGCATCATGCGACTCATATGCACATCCATTTGTGTCACACCAGGGGATAATTAAAATGAAGAGATTTTACCATTAAGTAGTAATAATCTGTGTTCATCCATCAGAAAATTAACACACCCCATTTTCAGCAACAGTGGAGACCTGTTGGGTCTCCAGATGTTTTGATCAGCATCTCCCATAATTTCTTACCATTGACAATGCTGGCTGGAGGTCTTGGGAGCCCAAAGTATCCAGAGATAGTTAAAGGCCAAAGTGTCTAGAGGGATAAAGGCTCTTACAGTTGAAATATTTAACAAATGTAGAGAATATTTCACAAAACTTTATTAACGATATACTTGTGTCCAGCCATGTTTTCTGATTAGATTGGATTGTTTTTAGCCCTTCAGATTTTCACAACTTTCTCAGCAGCACTCTGGAAAAGCTAAAATTAGTGTAACCAGCACTGCTTCAAGAGATGTGTGAACATTTTGTTCTGCCTGTGCCATCCGCTGCAAAAAAGTGTAGATATGAAGAGCTGTCTTTCCCCCGTCCCCCAATAAATGTCTATAGCACCTTTGAGATTATTTTAAAATGAAAGGAAAGTGGTCAGAATCCTGTTGGCTATTTATGTTGGCATAAAGGAAATGGCATAAATTGCAGCAGCAGGGATGGATCTGGGTGTTAAGCTTGAAAAAGTTACTCTTCCCAGTTCTTGCTTACTGCAAGTAGTGTATCTTTATTTCAGAAAGGCTTTTAGCAAATGAATGCTCATGTGGGTAAGGCAGTAAAATGTGGGCTAAGCAATGTAACTGCTTTGTGGATCTATAACTGGCTGACACACTGTAGCCCAAGAGTGCTCACCAATGGTTCTCCCTCATCTTGGAGAGACAAATCAGTGAGGTGTCATGGGTGTTCTTCAACATCTGTATAAATCAATAGGTGAAGGAGTAGATATCCTGAACAGAACTCAAGTCTTGAAATGTCAGTCTCTCCTTTCTCCACCACTTCATCTAGGGTTCCTCCAGTTTTGGATTGACTTCAATGACCAATCTCTTCCTACACTCTGAGGATTAGTGCTTAGAAAAGCAATGACCATAAGGGGAGTAATTTCTACTATATGCTGTTCTCCCAAAAGACTGTGGGTGGTTTGAGTGGAAACCATGCCTCTTCTGTTTGCAAATTGCATCCATGCACAGGAACAGCATTAAAGTCATCCTTATCTCCCTTTCCTACTGTTTTAGGTTATGATACTCTGCAGTGGAACAGCCTAAGATAACTCTAGCATCTAAATTACCACAAACACTTGACTTTCTCAGAGACTTGAATTACATTTTTGGACTATAACTCTCAGAAAAGTAACTTTTCAAAGTGGCAGCTCATATTACACAATATGGCAGGTACAACTCATGCAATTATACTTCATAAACATGTGTTTTTCTGCTTATATGTACACATATAGTGACAGAGTTATTGTATAGGTAGAGGTAAGTACAATTGAATTCTACTCTACTGTTGTGCTCACTTCTGCCAGCTGAAAAATAATGCAAGGTTTCATGACCCTGTTCTTTTGTGTAGCTATTTACACCAAAATAAACAGTAAACACTAAAAAGTAGCCATCTGGCAGCCAACACAATGCTTTGTCAGTTTATCACACCTTTCTTTCCTTTTATGCTGCTATCCATATTCCAAAGGATTTTTGAAACACACAATTGCTTCTGGTTAGAGAAGTGTGGCATTTGAACAGAGCTAGGGAGCTACCTTGTGGAATTTTGTGAGAAGGAAAAGGAGTAACTCAGACACACAAAGGTTGTTGTCCTTAAAGGAATTGCTGAGTCCCCAAACAAGCAAGGAATTACATCTTGACTTTGCTATACTACAATTTTGCTATACTACCATTTTATCTTTGATAAAATGTTTCAGGAAAGGGCAAAATAGAGTATGATTGGTATGATTCAGGGGTGCATACTTTGTAGGCCAAAGGCCACATATGATTCCCTAAAAAGGTGAGGCCCCAAGAGTGCCTTCACCCATCATCAAATTCTTTGCCCATGACTTTTCTCCACCAATTTCATTCAGATTGCTCTTTCTCAACTGCTGCTAGCAATAGGAAGAGAACTATGTATGTCAGGATATCTGGACTTGCCATTCCACCCCCAGCAATTGTCTCTATCTCTGTGCACGTGTCCATGCATGTGTGCACTCAGCCCCAGAATTAAACACAGCATGTGCAACTAAATATGTTGTGTGTCGCTGGTACAACAAGAAAAAGGTAAAATAAAATAAGGAACATGAAATCAGACAGAGTAACGGTGTATCAGACAGGGGATCTGCATGGATCAAGTAAAAGAAAATAGTAATTTGTGGGAAAATCCTGCCCAAGGCTGTTAACTGTTATCTGTTTCAGTGACATGCAAACACTCCTGGCAGAGAGCAGCAGCTCCCGGTGGGTGGGGTAACCTCTCATTCTACCTTCCTGCTTAGAGTTAGGGCATTAGATAAAAGGGTTTCTCCAGCCAATCCTAGTGGCGATCAGGTAACTAGTATCCTATCTGAATTCTCACAATATATGATGTAACTCTTGCTAAGTTAATAAAAAGAGTTCTCAAGGCGTTGCCTGAGGCTCCGTTGGCTCGGACATCTACTTATCAGCTTCTTTGCATTTTCTCTAAAGGCTAATTGCCTTCCCTTTGTTCCGTGATCACCTACAGTATTTGGGTCTAAAAATGTAGACTGCAGCCCATCCCTGCTTATTGCAATTAAGAAACATCCAGGAGGAACCACTGGCCCCCATTGCTAGTATTCTTGCCATGTTTCTTTTCACACAAGGTGCAAATCAGCTGCTATAACTTCGAAGTTGCCATCTGGTAAGCTAATTTGTCACCATTTCAACCCATGATTGTTTCAGTCTTTTGCACAATTATTGGGGGTTATAAGCTCCACTGGCTTTGGAGTAAACCAAATGAGTGAATTATACATTAGAAAGAAATGGAAATACAGCGCAAAAGTAAACACTCACAGAATCTGTTGCCTAATTTGCAGCATTCCTATCAGTCTCATTTTTGTCTCTTACCCACTAAAAGGAACAAATAGTCTTTGTTACCATAATAAAGAGAAATAAAGGGCCCATTAAAGGCACAATCATTGTCAAATGTCATTGAGTTTATCTGACATTAATCCATGGCTTAGACATCTAGCTGCTGCTGTTTTTGCTGTAAAAATGGATTTCCTGAAGGACTGATATAGCAGCAATGATTGTGGAGAATAATAAGTTCTCAAGGTTTGGCTGACAGCTGGCTTGCTGAAGCCATGCCATAACATCATCTTCTCCAAGTACATCAGACAGAAAACCTCTCTCTCCACATCCCCCAGAAAGATCCTGCTCTTATGCAAGCATAATTGACTGGACTGCACTTGCCCAAGTAGGAAGCACCATGAGCTCTAACATGGGACCCTCTTTCTTCCATCCTTATACCACCTGCCACTGAACTGGTAGATTCTTCCTCCTGCATTTCCTGGAATCCTGTTAAATGATATAGTGACAACTCTTGTCAAGATGCTTAACAAAACAATGGCAATACTTGCCAAGAACAGATGGTTGTCAAGATTGCCTGATGAATGAAAATCTGAGCTTGAAAAGGTCTATGTGGGTGCATGCATGCATGCCCATAACTAAGCTCAGAAAAGTTACTATTTTGAACAACAGTCCCAAGGATCTTTCAGATAAGAACATGTCATGTGGCTGGGGTGTACATTTATCCAAATTAAAAATGTTAGAACTAATGATGGGAAAATTACGTTTTTTCTACTGCAGTTCATGTAATACCCCAACAAACAATAGCCATACTTGATATTCTGGGAGTTGCAGTTGAAAAAGTCACTTCCCAAACTCTTGTATATACCCATCTCTGCAACCATAACTATAGCTGTACAGATTGTGGTTTTTTAACCCTGCCCAGCAATACTCTGCATGAAAATTACTGTATGTACATTCTGTTTGAGATTTGAAATGTCCATGCAAATAATGAAAGCAGTCCTTTGCAACCCACTTTTCCTGCATCATTTCTTTCACCAGGCTAATTAAAATTGGGATAGGCAGTGAAGACTTGTCCTAGATGCAGTCAACTCTTAGAAGCATCAAGAATTTGGAAGGAAATTTATGATTTATTACTATTACAGTCAATCACTGTTCTTTATGTATACACCAGAAGACACAGCAGGTGCCCTGAATAACTTATAGTCCCAGGGAGTTTCAAACAGAGCTATAGCAAGCATATTTAAATCAAGGAGAGGATGCATCAAAGCATCCCAGAATGTGAGAAAGGCAGATTGCATGAGTTCTAGCACTCACTTTTGTCAAGTCCTAGGATAGTATCATCAGGGCTCTGGCCTAAAAAACCCCACAAACAAACAAAAACCTCAGCAGTACAGTTTCCTTTTCCTGAAGGAGAATGGACAAGAAAGTGAAAACACTATGAAAAACAGGCATTTCATTCAGTGGTTCTTAGCACTGTCAGTCAACACAAAGAGAAACCATGATTCCCAACCTTGGGTAACCCAGGTATTCTCAGAGTGCAACTCTCAGAAACCCCAGCCAGCATAGCAGGAAGTGAAGGCTTCTGGGAACTGTAGTCCAGTAACACTTGGGTTACCCAAGATTTGAAACCATTGCTGTAAACCAGTGGTTCTTAACCTTTGTTACTCAAGTGTTTTTGAACTACAACTCCCAGAAACCCCAGCCAGCAGAGCTGATGGTGAAGGCTTCTGGGAGTTGCAGTCCAAAAACATCTGAGTACCAAAGGTTAAGAACCATTGCTGTAAACCACCCACATGGCTTTGATTTGGAAGTGTCAAGTATGTTTTCAGGGTGAAATCTCAAAGCTGGCTCATTTGCATATGCTTTGTGGATGGGCATAAAAAGGTAAAGGTAAAGGTTCCCCTTGACAATTTTGGTCCAGTCATGTTCGACTCTAGGGGGTGGTGCTCATCCCCATTTTCAAGCCATAGAGCCAGCGTTTTTGTCCGAAGGCAATCTTCCGTGGTCACATGGCCAGTGCGACTT